TTTAAGATTATATATAATAAATAATTGTTTGTAGATCTACCATAGACTAAAATACTGTAAAATATTCTTATTAGATTGCAAATAGATTGACTATATCAACAGCATATCAACCAATTTGGTATATGAACACTTACAGCCAGCAAAATCTACTTCCACACAAATAATATCAAACTATTCCTATTATTCATATCTGTGTATATCTATATACTATTGTTCTTACGAATATTACACTGAAAATGAGTAGTTGGCTTGCTGTGTTCTTCCCCAATCTTCCTACTGCTATCTTTACAGTAATATATCATGCAGAAAGATTTGACAATGGCTTCTCTTTACATGTGCATCGGGCTTTCGTATCCGTGAGTTTCTACATTAAAAAATCAACAAGAAAATTGTTAGAAAAAGAGAGGAGTTGGTTGGAGGTTCATCTGAATTTTGATTGAAGACAACCCTTTTTTTCCTTTAACACTAACCTTCACCTGTTTCTGCAAATCTTTAATGTGCTCAACTGCCATATCCAACATATCTGCGGTGTTTGTTTGCTGCAAAGAAGAAGAACAAATAGAGGTTTTACTTTTTTTTCGCATTCATACAAGAAAAGTCGATTAAATGAGATACACACATTAACCATAATACAATCTACTAACGAGAATACACGGGAATATACTGCACGATTCTCAAACCCGTAAATTTCTTATAAAGGAAGAGAAGTACTGATTATTCAAGTAAGAAATAGTTCATAAGAAAATTTTATGCTACCAGAATAATTTTATGAATAACAAATCTTAGCATAAACTACCTTGTCTAGGCTGGGGAAAAGCTCCTGCAGTTTTTTCATTCGTTCGCTGATTCGGGTTCTTCTCACCTAAAATTTTATATAAGAAGAGACTGGTAAGACTTAATCAAGGTGTTAGTTACATTGAAATACGCCGGAAAAAATATCACTGTTGGTTATTTGCAAAGAAAAAATTGAGATGCTATAGATGAGATATACCCTCTCTGCAATGCTTCGTGGGTGAGTGGCAAAACCTCTTTTGGCTCGAATCTTACAAGGAACAGAACCCTGAAAATGTAGGAATTTCTCTATGACAGCCATCTCAGAGGAAGTCTTAAGCAAACTTAAATGCTGAGTTAAGCCCGTAGATTTATTTCTTGCATCACCATTCTGAGTAAAGTGAATAAGATTTAGTGATCAAACAAAAATAACCAGAACAAAGAGATGAACTGAGGACCTGCAAGCACTACCTGAGTTTTCAATTTGATCGAGTTAGAAAACATGTTTGCATCGCT